GTCCGCAGGCCCCACAGGTCGCCGTTGCTGCTATCATGGTGCTGTGCTTGGATAAGGGCTACCAGAACATTGTTGAGCGATGCTGCGGCCTCACTTGAGCACGGGCCCGTTCCCGCCGGAGCAGCACCCACAGGTCGGGTTTGCACATTCATGCCTCGGTGAACTCCAGGCGCCCTTCTTTGGGCCTTACAGATGGAGTCCGAGTAGATGGGTCGGATGATCCCGCCGCATCGCCGATGCATCGCCGACATGGCTCGATGTGCAGCCCGATTTGCTCCGCGTCGACGTCGGTGATGCATCGGAGATGACGATGCATCGCCGATGCATCGCCGATGCATCGCAGATGTATCGGTGTTGCGGCGCGATCCTCCGACCCCATCTATTCGGACTCCATCTAGGAGGCCTCTACTTTCTGCATCGCCACCGCCGCCGCCACCCCGTCTTCAGGGCCACCGACGCGGGTGCTGACGACAGCGACAGTGGCAGTGGTCGACGCGTCCACGCGCGCTGGCGTGCATCGCCCGGTTGAGAGGCAGTTTGGTGTCCTCCGAGGCGGGCGGGGCAGCAACAGCAGTTGCATTTGGTGGAGACTGGGCCAGCGGAAAGAGTTCGGTAGCGAATCATGGGAACTTGACGTACCCTTTTCATTCCGTCTCTAGCGTCGATTAGCGTCTGGGAATCGATGGGCTTGCGCCGATTTAGCATGGGCTTGCGCCGATTTGCGCCGATTTTGCCGGTTAGCGTCGATTTGGCGTCGATTAGCGCCGATTTAGCGTCGGCGAACGTCGATTCGGAAAGGCCCACAAGATGGCATGGGAGGCTCCCATCAGTTGCCACCGAAATGTGGCGTAGACTGGACCAGTGGAAAGAGCCAGACAAGACGACGCAGATCACCACAGGCGATGCTGACACCTGCGCGATCGGAACACCGTTTTTTGGTGAGCTGGCCCGAGTGCGCCTGCAGTGCACAGGAAGGGAAAAGGTCGAGCCAGACAGTGTCGGTTCACAGTGCGTCGTGTTGAGCAGTGCTGCGACCACTCGAGCACGGGCCCTGCATTGCGGCATACTGGCCCCGTTTGGGCCTTCGTCTGGGCCACGGACGGTCCACCCTGCATTTTCTATCTAGCAGACACGCGAATGGTTAGGATGCTGCGCTTCCGGGAAGCGTCGAACGACAGTCCCGTGCTGAGCACGCTTTGTTTTCCAACCGTGTGTGTATACACACACATATATACATAAATATGTATATATATATTTATGTATATATATATATGATTTCCACGATTGCACACGTTCTCACATGTATCATTTGTTTCCAGCGATCTCCCCATGTGGAAAAGTGGACGTCCCCCGCCCCCCTCCCCACACCATCAGCGTATGCAGTGCGCAATGTGGAGCTTCAGGCCATCGAGCCGGCAGAATGTTACAGACCATGGCTGCGTTCTGAAATAGGGGCCGCCCTCTATCCGTGTCGATATTTTGGATGTCGAAGGCATGTGTGCAGCACTAAGACGAGAACCGCGGTTGGACCTCTTCAATCTGTATTTTGTTGAAACCGAGCAACGGGTGGAAACGGTGATAAAACGAGAGTCGCGGGGACAAGTAGAAACGAATGTGCGCGGGGGTGGCGTCTCGATGCGCCATGCAACGGCGGCGCAGATGTGACGCCTGGGGCGTGTTTGTGCTGCCACTCATGCTGCGAAGTCCGACTGCATGTGAATTCGCGCAGGCACATTGGGCCTCTCCTTTCGGGTTGTGTCTCCCAGGTGTTCTGTCCGGGCACAGGAAAGATCAGGCGAGAACCGCTTCCTGAAAACGGCCAGCCCTTCATCCCCTGTGAGCATGTGGGTTCTGGCTTGTAGTTAATTTGACATTCGCGGCTGCGTGCGGACGCGTCCTCGATGCGACACGGGGGACGTACAGTGGGGACGCGCATTAACCCACAGTGGTAAATTTCGTGAGGGGACCTCGGGCCGCGCGTTGCGCGGTGATTCCCCGCCGGCGTTGAAGAAATCATTGCGCTCAGGGTGCGCCACGGTTCCGCCGCGCACTTCGCGCTCGCATTTTCAGGTTTGGTTTTCTCGCGATGGTTTCCCACGGCCGCGTCCGCAGCGCCCTCTTTCTTCATTCGCACCTGCCACAGTCTATGCAAGCGGCTTGCGCCGTGCCGCCGGCTCCCAATTGCTGGGCCTCTCGGAGGGATGCTCGGTGTTGTTCCCCATGTCCTAAGTATGGGGTTCTTGTTATTGGCCGACCGCGCCAGAGAAACCTCCTCCTCCTCACCTCCTCCCCCTCCGCCCCAGTCACTCATCACTCAGACTTACTCATCACCCAGACCCACTCATCACTCAGACTCACTCCTCATTCAGTCTCACTCATCGCTCGGACTGAGTCATGACTCAGACTCATCACTCATCACTCAGACTCACTCATCACCCAGACTCACTCATCACTCAGACTCATTCGTACTTGCACTCATACATTCACTACACTCACTCAGGTCCACTCATCGGATGACTCACACACACACACACACTGTTGTTGAGGATGTCTCAGGCGATTCTGTGGCTTCAGCACTCCTAAGGGGAGCGGCGGGGGGGTATTGCACTCGGCCCTTTTCGCGGGATGTTGGGGATGTCTCGAGCGGTTTGCCTGTTTTCTGTCCCAACATCCTTCGCTTTCGGAGCAGATTTGGAGGATGCCTCGAGCGAGGCGCTCATTTTCACGCTCCTAAAGGGAGCGGCGGGGAGGTATTGCACTCGGCCCCTTTCGCGGAATGTTGTGGGGATGTCTCGAGCGGTTTGCCTGTTTTCTGTGCCAACATCCTTCGTTTTCGGAGCAGATTTGGAGGATGCCTCGAGCGAGGCGCTCATGTTCACGTTCCTAAGGGGCTTCGCTTTCGGAGCAGATTTGGAGGATATCTCGAGCGAGGCGCTCATTTTCACCCCCCAGGTGGGCCAGATTTTGAGGATGTCTCGATCGGTTTGCTTGTTTTGGTGGCCAGTCTCGTGGGCGCAGATTCTTCTCAGGATGCCACAGGAGGCTCCAACAGGCTCCAGGAGGCCCCAAGAGACCACATGAGGTCCCAGGAGGCATCAGGAGGCCACAGAAAGACTCAAGAGGCCACAGGATGTCCCAAGAGGCTCCAGGAGGCCCCAGGAAGCTCCAGAAGGCCTCAGGAAACCACAGGAGGCCCCAGGAGGCAACAGGAAGCGCCAGGAGGCCTCGGAAGGCAACATGAGGCCCCGAGAGGCCCCAGGAGCAGGAGGCCTCAGAAGGCAACAGGAGTGGCTCCAATCCCATGTGTTTTACGTATGATCCTATCGATTGGGCCTCACCTGGAGCACGATTCTTTGATGCTATACGTATGTTTCTATAGATTGCCCTTCTCCTGTGTACACAATCCTACATGTTTTACTTATGTTCCTATAGATTGGGCCCCTCCTGGGGCATGAGTCCTTGGTGTTTTACGCGTGTTCCTATAGATTGCCCTTCTCCTGTGGCTCTAATCCGCAATGTTTTATGTACGTATGTTGCTATATATTGCGCCTCTCCTGGGGCACGAAGCCTCCCTAGGAGGTCCCAGGAGGCCCCAAGAGGCTCCTGGAGACCCCAGGAAGCCCCAGTAGGTTTCAGGAGGCCCCAGGAGGCCCCAGGCTCAAGCACAAAGACGCGCTCGTACTACTGAGGCTCATTCACACTCCAATTCATTCGCAGTTAGATTTATGTCCAGACCGTCACAACTGAAGCCCGTGTACCTTCGAAAGCTCTTGCGCCTAGACATTCACGGCGGACAGGTCCATGCGAATAGATGCACATATGGGGAGCTCCACGCAGTTAATAATTTGGGGGGTTCTTGTGGGTTTCTTGGGGTCTTCTTGGGAGCCTCGTGGAACCCTCTTGGGGCTTCTCGGGGGCGCCAGGGGAACCTCGGGGGGTCTCTTGGAGCCTTCCTGGAGGAGAACAACTCCACATGTCAGCTCGTATTCCCCTTCTGGGCCCCTCATAAGGGCCCTTTTGGCGCTGCTTTAGGCCTTCTTGGGAGCGCCTGGGGCCGTTTTTTTGTTGTCGTACGCGTGTCGTCCTTTCGGGACATGCCCCATTGGAAGACGACCGTCCGGAAATCTTCGATCGTGCCAGTGCACCGTGCATGGGTCTTCTTCAACTCCGCGAGTCCACATATCTGTTGCGTCCCGATAATCTTAAATCCTCTAGGAACACCTTTCCTGGGGCCGCAACGTCGCAAGTCAACCTGACTTCTTACGCCTTGACAATCGCTAATCGAATCGGAGCGCAGTTCCTGGGACTTCAACAAAAAATGCGCGTGGCGCTAAGGCGAGAGCTACTTATTGAAAAGAACCGCCCCCAATTTGGAACTTGCCGCAATCATTGAACACGAGTGCGCGCGGCGCTAAGGCGAGATTGGCGTTTTTAGCTCGGGTCGCACTCTGGAAGCAGCTGCGAACTTCTGAAACGACTGTGCGCGGCGCCCAGGCGGGCGCCACGATTTGAGAATGGCCTGCCCTCCATAGTGGAAGCTGCTGCACTTGCTATTTAAGGAAAATTGCGCGCGGCTCCCGAGCGAGAGTTGTAGTTTGAACGTCCGCCCTCCATCCGTGGAGTTCTTGGATATCTCAGGCCTCGTGGCCATGTGTGGTGAGGGGGCCCCCCCGGCGAACCGCCCGGCTCGCCACACCGGCACGCTTGGGGGGAGCGACGGGGAGGAGCTGCCTACGATCGGGCGGGCGAAGGGCCGCGCTCGCGCAGGCCGCGCCGCACGCCGCGGCCGCCGCGGCGGAGGCCCGCCGCGGCACCGCGGGCTGCGCCGAGGGCTGCGCCGCGGGCCGCGCCGAGGGCTGCGCCGACGGCGGCGCCGAGGGCGGCGCCGAGGGCGGCAGGTCGGGCCCGCCGCCTCGGCGGCGGCCTCGGCGGTGGCCCCCGTCGGCGGCGGCCCCCTCGGCGGCGGCCCCCTCGGCGGCGGCCCCGGGCCGTTCGCTGACATGCTCGGGTGGGGCGCGCGGGGCGTGCAGGCGGGGCTGCTTGGTGGGTCGGGCCTGGCAGGCCAGGGGTGAGGGGTCTGCTGTCCACCACCAGCACCGTGGGTCGGAAGGGGGGAGGAGGGGGAGGAGGAGGAGGAGGAGGAGGAGGAGGATGAGGAGGAGGAGGAGGAGGAGGAGGAGGAGGAGGAGGAGAAAGAGGAAAAGGAGGAGGAAGAGGAGGAGGAGGAGGGCCCCCTTCCCCTCCTGCTCATGGTGGTGGCGGTGGGCAACAAGCCCACCAAGGAGTACCCTTCAGTGTTGTGTACCGCGCATCGCGTCATCTGCCTTCGCGGGGCGAGGGCACCCTTGTGTCCTGTGGCTTTTAGAGGCCATGGTGCCGTCGGAAAGGTCTTGCGCGTCCTGTCGCGCGTCCTGCCCAATCGGCCCCGCCTGTTTCCACGCCCATCGCGCCAAGGCAACGCTACGACGAAGTGCATCCCCAAAAACGATAGCACCCCCTTCCCCGCTTGGGGGGAAGGAAGGCGGGAAAGACGTGTTATTCGACATCACGTGGCATGGTCTGAATGCCATGGGTGAGGAGATTGTGTGTGTGTGTGGCCACCGTCGGGTCGTGAACATATCACGTATGGAGTTGTCAGTTCTTTTATTTTCGGCCTCTGGGGAGCTCGCCAGTCCCCTGGGAACGTGGAGAACGCCTCGGTCGGATGAAACATAGACCGTCCCTGCGTTCCGACGTCCTCCTGTCCTATGCGTCCACCTCGTTTTTCTCTCTTCCCCATCCTCCACCCTTTGAGCGGGAGGTGGTTAGGGAGCGGGGGGGACGGAGGAGGGGAGGGCGGATCAGGGTAACCCTAGCAGTACGAGTGATGAAGATGATGCTGGCGGTGACGATGGTGATGGCGTTGCTGATGATGACGGTGGAGAAGATGCAGCCGTTGATGATTGTAATGGTGACGATACCGATGACCTTGACGATGATGACGATGACGATGACGATGGCGGTGACGATGATGCTGATGGCGATGACGTCGATGATCACGGAGATGGTGATTAATCGCATGCCCTCACCCCGTCATAAGCCCCCGCAGATCGTTCATAGGCTTCTGAGCGCTGGTTGTAAAGTGGGCGTTCTGGTTGTAGAGAGTCCCATCTGGGTTGTTTCAGTGGTCGTCTGGCTGTAAGATGTATTGTTATGGTTACCGTGTGGTCGCTCTCAAGGGACAACGTTATGCTTTGATCCATCGTAGCTTGTAACGTGTCCCATGTCGGTTGTAAAGCGTCTTTTTGTTGGTAAAGAGACCGGATCTCCCGCTTCGAGGAAAGCAGCCGCGCACGAGGGACTCCTGCTCCTCACGCCCGCCCCAGATACTCGTGCTCCCCCCACCCTTCCTGGGAGGCCCCGACAGAGCGAGCAGGGGACCAGTCTACCATACAATTTTTCAGGTTCCGCGCTGCTCTGACCCCTCCAGAGGCCCCGCCAGAGCGAGCAGGAGATCATTATGCCAGACCATTTCTCAGGTTTCGTGCTCCTCCGACCCCTCCAGTGAGGCCCCTCCAGAGCGAGCAGGGTATCGCTATACCGGTGTTCTTTCTCAGGTGTCGTGCTCCTCCGACCACTCCAAGGAGGCCCCGCCAGAGCCAGCAGGGCATCGCTACACAAAGTTGTTTCTCAGGTTTTGTGTTCCTCCGTCCCCTCCAAGGAGGCCCCGTCAGAGCGAGCATGTTATCGCCATACCGTACTAATCATACATACGAGTTGCCGGGACGATGAATGTATGATCCCCCCGAACCCCAATTTTTATTATCCCTTGGGTGCGATTAGATGGTGATGGTGATGATGACGACGACGACGGCGACGCCGACGAGATGATTGGTGGAGATGGTTGCGGTGGTTGTGTTGGCGATGATTATGCTGATGATGGCGACGACGATGACGACGGCGACTTCGACGCGGATCACGATGCTGAGGAGGGCGATGACGACGGCGACGAAGATGTAGAGGAATCTCATCATGACGAATATGAGGTAGAGGACGCTCGCGACGAGGACGGGTGGATGACGCTTCGGGGCATTCGATAGCATGTCTAATATCCAGCTGCCTACGGCAAGTCCCGCCACCGTGCCTTTGTTGTGGGTTGTAAGCCTAGTGGGTGTTCGTTGGAATCTCCTGAGAGGCCTCTCGGGTGCCTCTGGGGGGCAATTTCGCGGCCTCTTAGGTGCTGTCGTGGGGCCACTTGGGGGCCTCTTGGGGCCTTTTGGGAGCCTTTTGGGAGCCTCTTGGGGCCTCTTGGGCGCCAATTGGAGCCTCCTGGGGGGCCCTTTGGGCGGAAGGCTCGGACTTTCGGTTCGTGTGCCCTCTCTGGGGTTCCTTTCGGGGCCGTTTGGGGGCCCTCTTGGGACGTCTTGGGCGCCTCTTGGGCCGTCTTGGAGCGCTTTTAGGCCGTCTTGGGACCCTCTTGGAGGCGTCTTGGGCCGTCTTGGGATGGTCCTGGGGGCATCTTGGGCTGTCTTGGAGCGTCGGAAAGCCGAAGAGGCGAGACCGGCAAAGTCCTTCAAAAACGCACGGGAAATCAATGATGTTTGCTTTTGGTGGCCGTCGTGGGAGGCTCTTGGAGGCCTCTCGGGTCCCCGTGGAAGCCTCTTGCGCCATTTTCAGGCCATCTTGGGCACCTTCTTGAACCGTCTTGGAGGCCTCCCGGGCCATCATGGAAGCCCTGGGGAGCCCTAGGGAGGCACCACGGCCGCGCAGGGACTCCACGGGAGTATGGCCAGTGCGCGCAACGAGGTGCGGCCCGGAGGGGTGGGGAGGCCCCTTGGAAGATTACGAAAACCCTACCAGGCAGCACTGGGCATTCTGCCACGCCTCAACGTGCCAGGGGGCACGGTAGCGAATGCGCATGATGACGACGAGGACGTGGGCGATCACGAGGGGGGAGGGTATCGATGAGGAGGCCATGCGAAAATGACGAGGACGAGGACGAGGACGAGGACGAGGACGAGGAAAGACGAGGCGGGGGAAGAGCAGGACGAGGAGGAGGAGTTGCTGCAGCGACGTGCCCAGGAGGAGGCGGAGGAGGAGGAGGAGGAGGTGGAGGCAGAGGCGGATTCGGAGGATACGAAGGAGGTAGAGAAGGCGGAGAAGGCGGAGGAGGCGGGGGCGGAACAGACAGGGGAGTCCGAGGAGGAGGCTGAGGAGGAAGCGAAGGAGGAGGAGGTCCCTGAAGGTCTCCAGAGGTCCGCGGAAATCTTTCGAGGCTACACAAAGAGTTTCCAAAGCGAGTCGGTATTCTCGATCCTCCTCCAGCGACGGGGACGAGGAGGGGGCGGCAGGGAATGACGATTACGTTGAGAGCGAGGAGGCGGAAGAGGAAGAGGATGATGCCGAAGATGAGGAGCGTCTGGAGCTCTCGCGCCGCAGAGCGAGCGAAGTGACTGGCGCTCAGGAGAGGCATGTCTCCACAGCTTGGCTCTGCGCTGTTCTTGCTCGCGCGGCACTCGCATGCTCTGCCGCACCAGTGCAGTGCACTGAGGAGGGCGAGGAGGAGGAGGAGGAGGAGGAGGAGGAGGAGGAGGAAGGGGAAGAGTAGGAGGAGGAGGAAGAGGAAGAGGAGGAGGGCGAGGATGAGGGCGAGGAGGAGGAAGAGGAAGAGGAAGAGGAGGAGAAGGACGAGGAGGAGGGCGAGGAGGAGGAAGAGGAAGAGGACGAGTGGGAGGAGGAGGAGAGCTAGACGGATGTGCAGCCGCGGGCTAGGTGACCCGCGTGCGGCGGGTGAAGGTCCCCGCGCCTTGGCGGGCGTCCCGACTGCGGGCCGCCTTGCGACTGCGGAGGGAGGAAGGAGGAGGAGGGAGCAGGAGGAGGAGGAGGAGGAGGAGGAAGAGGAGGAGGAGAAAGCGGCAGAGGAGGCGAGGAGGAGGCGGGAGGGGGGGCGGCAGGGTTGGACGAGGGGGGCGAGGAGGAGGAGGCGAGGAGGCGGAAGAGGCGGAAGAGGAGGCGGAGGAGGGCGACAACGAGGCGGACGAGGACAAGGAAGACGGCGCCGCCCCCCCCCCCTAGCGGAAAGGCGCCCACAGTGGTGCCCGTGCGGCTTGTCGCGGGTGCTGTCATGGCGGTGGCCGCCGGGCTCGGCAAGCGGTGGGGGAGGTCGACTACGGTAGGATTGTGCCTGATCGACGCGGAGACGACCCCAGCGCGCACGCTCAAGGCTGAACGACGCCGATCGCCCAGAACTGGCCGGCGATCATGTACTGGCCTTCGGCACATCCCGCCACCGTGGCTGGGCTGTTGGTCAGAGGCCTCTTGGGGCCCTCTTGGCCCGTTTTGTGGCGGTCGTGGCCGCGGAGAAGTCATGTGGGAAGCGCCAGGGAACCGCGGGAGGCACTCTGGGAACCTAGGGAAATTTGAAAATTGTGGGTCTGTTCTTCGTATTTTTCGATTCTGAGCACAGGACTGAGAACTACAAGACACTGCAGGCACCCAAATTCGTGCCTCGCGGCACGGTGGCGGATCCAGCGATTTTTGTTATCGGAAGCGTGCGGTCATTGACAGAAGAAATGTCTACGCGGTGTCAGAAACCAATTCCGATGACGTCGCGACGCGAATATGCGGAACGCGTCAGAGTAGTCCTTCGTTGGAGTGGTTTTCGGTATGGGCTTGGCCGACTGGGGTTTTCCGACCGCAGAATGCGATGCGACAGCAGCATAGCCGTGGTTTGCGCTCCTGTGTTTATCACCTTCCTCAGGCTCCCCTGAAGGAGCGCGCCAAAGGTTATTCTATTGCCCAGGGCTGCTCTGGCGCGTGCAGCCCAGGGCCAGAAGGGCGCTCATCACGAAGAGGGTCGCTGGTCGATGTCAGCTTGCAAGAACAGAGCTCACGACCCGCCCACCCTGCATACCGTGGCCGCCAGATCCCCAGGTCCACTCAGTGTCCCGAGTGTCCCGCCCCCCGTCTCGTCTTTAATTACTACCGCCCACCCTGCACACACTGGCCGCCAGATTCCCAGGTCCACCCAGCGTCCAGAGTGTCCTGCTCCACGCCTCGCCATTCTAACTGGTTGCTACTCGTTAAACCAGCGCTCTTAGCACGACTACTAGTTACAGTATTGCTAGCACGACGACGATGACGACGACGACGACGACGACGACGACGACGACGACGACGACGACGACGACGACGACGACTACTACTGAAACTATTACAACTACTACTACTACTACTACTACTACTACTACTACTACTACTACTACTACTACTACTACTACTACTACTACTACGACTACTACGACTACTACTACACTACTACTACTACTACTACTTACTACTATTACTATACTACTACTACTACTACTACTACTACTACTACTACTACTCTTTCTACCACTACACTACTACTAATACTGCTGCTGCTACTACTAACTAGTACTAGTAGTAGTAGTAGTAGTAGTAGTAGTAGTAGTAGTAGTAGTAGTAGTAGTAGTAGTAGTAGTAGTAGTAGTAGTAGTAGTAGTAGTAGTAGTAGTAGTAGTAGTAGTAGTAGTAGTAGTAGTAGTAGTAGTAGTAGTAGTAGTAGTAGTAGTAGTAGTAGTAGTAGTAGTAGTAGTAGTAGTAGTAGTAGTAGTAGTAGTAGTAGTAGTAGTAGTAGTAGTAGTAGTAGTAGTAGTAGTAGTAGTAGTAGTAGTAGTAGTAGTAGTAGTAGTAGTAGTAGTAGTACTACTACGACTACTACTACTTCTACTACTACTACTACTACTACGACTACTATTACCACTGATACGGCTATAACAGCATCTACTACAATACAGGACGGTTAAATATAGCACAACCAAGCGTAGCACAACACAGTATTTCATACCCCCATATAGGTCAGTAGTATCTAAGTTGTTGAGACATGCCAGCACACAACTTCAGTACAATAGCACACACTGTATTAATGGCAGGGTAGGTGAGACCAGAGACGAATGTGCAGTAAGAGAGCAGAGCAGAGCAACACACTTGATATGCTACAACCGAAGAGCAGGGTTCATAGTATTACAGCAGGGAGTAGAGCATAACGTAGCGCGTCATACATACCGCTTTCTAATATAATAGAAGAGAGCATCCCATGCCGTAGCAAAGCATAGACAAATAACACCAACTTGGCAGGACCATCTTGTAAGATCCAGACACAGCAGCGACCGACTCATCGGCTGTAGGAGACCGACCCTGCATACCGCGGCCCCCATATCCCAAGGATCACCGGTGATCCTGAGTGGCCCGACTCGCGTCTTCGACGAAATTCACGGCGTCACGGCGTGACGCGGTGCAGGCGTCACGACGTTACGCCGTTACCATCCCAAAACAGGATTACCCATACAGTACAGAGGATACTATACTACAGCGAACCAGAATAGCATAGACGAGAAGATAACAGAACTCGCCATGATCTGACGTAACACAAAGGGAAGATGATCCGGGAGCCTCTCGTTAGTTTCTGTTCAAGAGGTTTTGTCTTGGAGTGTTCCCAGGTCGCCCCGCCGGTGCTGGGGGACATTGTTGCGGTAAGAACGAGGCCCGCGCGTCGAGACATTGGCAACATGCTGAGGTGGTTCGACCCTCTTCGCAAGAGACCTCGTCGCAAGTCTGCGTTCCGAGACGACCAGCTTTGATATGGTCTGGCCCGCTTCGCTTGAAGCATCCTCCCCAGTCTTGGCTCCCTGACACTACGCGAGAGGTGGTCCGGCGCATATCGCTTGAAACATCCTTGAAACTCTTTGGTTCGGGGGTACCGTGACCTGAGGTTGCCTCGTCCGTTTCGCTTGAGGCATCGTCGCTACGTTAGGCTTTAATATGCCGCCCGCGAGGTAATCCGATCAGTTTGGCCTGAGACGTCCCCGCAATTCTTGGCAAAGCGATGCCGCGTGCGAGGGGGTCCAGCCAGCATTCCGATCATCCGTTGAGGAGTGCGAAGCGAAGAAGGTGTGGGAGGAGCAGGAGTAGCAGAATTACCGAGGACGGGGGGGAGGAAGGATAATGCTCGTATTGCTGTCAGACAAGTGCTCTTGTTTTCAACGCTCTCGGGGCACTTCTCGTCGCCAGGGCTGAACGCGGCTCGATGGACTTGATCGTGCCTGGTGATGCGGGCTGGTGCTCTGCCGACGTAGGGTGTGTCACGGGCCCGTTTGGGCTTAGATTGTGGGGATGTCTCGAACGGTCCGTTTGTTTTACGGGGTGGAGGTGTGTTTCGGAGCCGTATGGTCCTCGCTGGCCATTTTGGCTGGCTTTTGGGGCTGTCTTGGGCCCCATCCAGGGCTTGCCTTGGCTGGCGGGGGGAGCAGTGCACCTGAGCCCGGGTGCCCGGGTCGTCCGGAACAGCTCTGGGCGACCCCAGTAAGCCCAGCGGCGGTGCCGGGGAGGTTCCGGAGAACCCCAGGTTTCGAGATGCCCTGAATCGAGGTGCTCCAAGTCTCACAAGTCTGGGTTTTCCAAGATGTGGTTCGCGAGGTACTTCGGTACGTTTCGCCTCAGACATCTTACCAGCCTCGAACGTATCCCTAGCCTTAAGATTGACATGCCAAAAGGCGATGACAATCTTAGGGGTTCGCCCTCAAAAAATAAGGGAATCCCTAAGATTGGCATCGTGATGAGGAGGTGCCCAGCATAGTGATAGGGATATGTTCCAGGCTGGTAAGATATTCAGTCCCGTTTTATTGGAGACATCCTCATTGCGTCGTTCGCCCGAGACATCTTCGGAGCCCCTGGTTTGGAGCTGCCCTGAATTGAGATGCTCTGGCCCCTTTCGCTCGAGACGTTCTCGCCACTCATGGTTCACAGATGTGGTTCGCGAGGCCCTCAGGCACGTTTCGCCTGAGACAACCTCGGGATCCATGGCTCTGACCGTTTGAACTGTGACGTGCTGGCAACTCTGGTTTGAAGATGCGGTTCGCGAGGTGCCCAGGCCCGTTTCGCTTGAGACATCCTCGGAACCCCGGGCTCCGAGGAGCCTTGACTTGAGGTTCTCTGGCCCGCTGGGCTTGAGACTTCGGCGCAACTCACACCTCTGGGTTCCAAGATGCGGCTCGCGAGGTGCTCTGGCCCGGTTTATCTGAGACATCCCTGGGTTCCAAGATGTGGTTCGCGAGGTACTCAGGCCCGTTTCGCCTGAGACATTCTCCGATTCGGGGCCATTGCGAGATGCCCTGAATTGAGGTGTTCTGGCCCGTTTCGCTTGAGACGTTCTCGCAATTCTGGGTTCTAAGACGTGGTCCGCGATGTGCGCAGGCACGTTTCGCCTGAGACATCCTCGGAATCCCTGGCTCCGACATGCGCTGATTTGAGGTGATCTGGGCGTAGGTACACTTGAAGACGACATTGACGGAGTTGTTGTTTGGGTTGCCCCTGGTGCCGGGGGACGTTGGGGACCAAGAGAAAGTGATAAAACAAACGCGAAGTCGCCATGTGTAACATAACATCACATAACACATATTGTAATATAGTAGACTCAAACAAAACAGGAGGGGAGGGGGGCATGTCAGACCATATTATCAATTCATGCGACAGCATGTGAGACTATTCGAACTATGTGGGCGTGGCACATTGTCACTGAATAGACTAGAGCAGTACATGGACCACGTCATGGTATAGCGTAATATAATATAATGGCGTCTGTGACATATAACATAACAGACCATGCTATACCACACCCTCATGTATCACCAGTTAGTGCAACAGCACATAACGGCATAGACAGGTAACACCATATATCAAACACTATCCTGGCGAAGGACCCAACCATGTGCAGCTGTGTGTAACGCAGTTGTGGGTATCGTCCTCGGTGAACCTCTCTCTGGGGCCACGACGCGTGTGACGGGTGTGCCAACATTGGCACGGGCACGCCATGCGGAGGCTGCAACCAGAGCCTTCGGTGCAGCCCCATGTGAGGCCACGAAGCGTGTGGTGCGCCAAAGTGCAGTGTGGAACCACGTGCGGGCGTTTCCACTAGGGCCTTTGGGGGCCACGAAACGTGAGAGGGGTGCGCCGACATCAAGGGTGGAACTGCATGCGGAACCTGCCACTGAGGCCCTGTGTGGAACACTCTATGAGGCCACGACACGCGTGAGGGGTGTGCCGAAATGGGTGGGATTGCATGCGGACCCTGCCACTGGGGCCTTGGGTGGAGCACCCTATAGGGCGGCGGAACGTGCGAGGGGTGTGCCGAACTGCACCCTACAGGGCCACGCAACGTGTGAGGGGTGCGCCGAAATGGGAGTGGAACTGAATGCGGAGCCTGCCATAGGGGCCTTCAGCGGAGCACCCTATGGAGCCATGAAACGTGTGAGGGGTGCTCCAAAATTGAGGTGGAACTGCATGCGGGCCCTGCCACTGGGGCCTTCGGCGGAGCACCCTAATGGGGGCACGAAACGTTTGAGGGGTGCGCCGAAATTCGCATGCGAGAGAGCAGAGGCAGGGAGGGGCGGAGGGGGAGGAGGAGTGAGTGACGAGACACGGGGCGCTGTCTCTTCAAAACGAGGACCCAACACCACAATATGGTTGGGAAATAACATAGCATGATCACACTGGCCTTACCATACTTAGCACCATAAGTTGTAACATTAAAGATTGCCCAATGCAGAGCATACGCACTATACCATAGTAGCAGATATCCGTTGATACCACCGTGTCATGGGATATCATAGTCGCATATCTGACAGCGTAGAACCCATTCGGCCACAATCCTCTCGGGCATCATTTGCTTCGCCCGCCTCCTCTGCAATACGTTTGTACGCTTTCTTCCAGTAGACTGGCTCACCGTTTTGGACAAAGCCGCACGTTTCGGTGGGTATCGGTCACGGCAAACTGTTGTAAGCATGCCATCTATATTTGTAGTTAGGCCGTTGTAGGTATGTAGATGTACACACACATATATAGAGAGAGAGATACAGAGAGAGGAGATGAGGGGGAGGAGAAGGAGGATGGGGATGGGGGCCAGGCCGAGGAGGGTGAGGGCGAGGAGCGGGAGGATGAGGGGCAGGAGGCGAGGATGTTCCGAGGGAGGAGGATGGGCAGGAGGGGAAGGCGGGGCAGCATGAGGGCGGGGTGGGGAGCCAGGGCTCCACGGCTGTCCTGTGACTGGCCGTCCCATGCCCTCGAGGCAGGAGGCCTCCACGGGGCGGTGCGCCGCCGGACGGCCTCGGGGCCTCGGGCCCGAAGGCGGGCGCGGACTCGCCGCAGGCCACTTCTGGTCGGCCAGACCGCGTGGTCGCCGGGCCGCCCTCGGGCGGGAGAGGGAGCTCGGCGAGGGCCCCGCGGAGGGAAGGGAGGGCCGGTCCGAGGTGCGGGCCCCGTCGGGCGCCTCGGCTCCGCGCGTCGCGGCCCCCGCCATGAAGTTGTGGCTGCTGGCCCACTCGGGTGTTTCGCCAGGACGCGCCGGCCACTGCCCGGCCCCCTGGGCGTCAGCGTCCTCGAGCCTTTCCATGGGCCACCGCCTCGCGCAGCGGAGCCACGCGGTGTCCCGCCCTTCGGCTCACAGCGTGTCGCCGGGGCCCTTCGCCGGGACACGCGCAGCAGCAGCTCCGCGGACCGTGGGGAGCGAAGCCGGCTGGAGGCTCGCACTTCCTTCTTCCGGGGATCGTCCAGGGCCGTTTTCTTCTCTCGGGGGCCCCAAACGGGCTGGCGACCACACCGTGCGGTGAGTCGGTGGGGATTCGGGGTCACCGCACGGTTTTGGGACTCGAGTCCCTCTCCGAGGACGTCTCGGGCGACAGGGGCCTCCAGGGTCCCAAGACCGTGCGGTGACGGACCGTGCAGTGAGGCCTCTTGGGGTTCCGAGGTCACCGCACGATCCGTGCGGTGACGGACCGTGCAGTGAGGCCTCTTGGGGTTCCGAGGTCACCGCACGGTCTGCCACCGCACCGTTTCGGGACTCCAAATTCTCGCCTTCCCTTTGGCCCCGCCCCACTCTTAAGAACCCCGAGGTAGGGAGAGGGATGAGAAGTGGACGGCGGGCGTGGCAGAGTGTCGGGCAAGGCTTCCTTTCCCCCCTGTGGCATCGCTGATCACCCTTCGCACGACTCCTACCAGGAGCTTCTGGGTTGTTGCGAACCGCTGTGCGTGGCGCCAAGGCGAGATCCCCAGTCAGAAGCCTCAGGCGAAGCGTCCGGCCCGCCCTCAGCTATGCGTACGGTGGTGCGCCCGTGAGGATTTATGCAGCGGGGATGGAGGGAGCAGATGTCGGACTCGGATGGGGACGCTCGGTCGTGCTCCATGGCCAGATGCCCCTCTGTCAACACCATGGCCTGGAATGACCCAGGAGCGATGGTGCTTCGGACTCGGCGTCGCAGCAGTCTGCGCGCCGTCTTGCTGAAGGCCCTCATAAATCGACGCGAAGATCGGGACAAAATCGGATCGGGATAACTCGAAATCTCTGAGAATCGGCGGGTTTGGAGGACGTATTGGGCGCCGCGGCCGCTCCAGAGCGTTCCGGAACGCTCTGAGAGCGCTCCGGAACGCTCTGGAGCGATTTATCCTGATCCTAGCCCTGTTTTACCTCACCCCGAGAGCCAGGAGGGGTACCCCCTATCACCGACCGCTGCCCTCCCCCGTGGAGGGAGGCCCCGCCTGGAGTCCCAGGCGGCCCAGCGCGCAGAGGCGAGAGGGCGAGGATCGATGGAGGGAGGGAGGGAAAGTGTGCGGCGGGTTCGCGCCGTGCCGCCTTGCGGCCAACCCGCCGCCGGCGTTCAACATGGAACGCCGCCCGCGGCCCAGGAGCGGTGGATGTTCAACGACCTGACGTTTCGGACACGGCCGATCGATCCAGTTGTGCTTTGGATTTTCTGCGAAAGCTGATTGTTGACACCGAACTTGGGAGGGATGACGGACCTGCCATTACGAGTTTCGACAATAGAGGGTCGAGATCTCTCACGGAGTGTCTCGACGATTTTGGTGCTGAACTGTTCTTGCTGGACTGTTCTTGGTGGCTTGTGAAGGGCGATCCGTAAGATCAGGGCCTTCGGGCACACTCGCGGCATGTCAGAAACCAACGCCGAAGTTGGAACGGCAGGAACCTGCCGTGGACGAGAGGCACGTCGGTCGAGGAGGGGGGGGGGCGCGCGGTCGTGCCCTGCCGCCAGAGGGCCCGCTGGCCAGAAGCACTGCCTGCAAGGACCAATGAGCGACGGAGGGAGGGAGGCAGACATGCGTTGCCCAACTTCTTGGGCCACACGCTCGTGCTGCCCACGATTGGGCACACGCACGCGCGCCGGACACAGGGGCGCCAACAGGTAACGCGCCGGCGCGAGGTGCCAATGTGGCGTGCGTCTGCGGCACCGTCGGGGTCCCCCTGTGCGAGTGGCCCAACCCCAGATCGCCCTTGTGCGGGTCGCCTGTCTAAGTGCGGCCGTTTCGCACCCGGGACGCCCTCGTTCGGGTCGCCCGGGTGCAGGTGCATGTGTAGCACTGTCGGGACTCCCTAGCGCATATGTTTTGATTCGATGGCTGACGCCGCACCGCCGACCTCTTGGGGCGGCAATCAGAGTGAAAAGCGTAGTTTGCGGAACGATGTCTGGGAGAATCGTAGTAGTAGTAGTAGTAGTAGTAGTAGTAGTAGTAGTGGTGGTGGTGGTGGTGGTGGTGGTGGTGGTGGTGGTGGTGGTGGTGGTGGTGGTGGGGTGGTGGTGGTGTA